GTTTAGAGCTGTTGTGCATAGGGTCGCTATGAGTCTCAAACGACTTGACGGCACATGACAACAAAACAACAACAACATGATGTTGGTGAGGTGGGATTCCAAGTATTTCTCTGAAGCTCCAATCAGCCTCTCCTGATTAAGGGGAAGTCTTCTCAGGGGCGTGGCCTGCATTGGATGTGTTCGGACTTTCCTGCAAAAAGCTAAAGTGTTTTGTTCAGTTTTTGTCTGGGTTTATTGCTGACAGACTTGAGCAATCAACGTCCAGAGCTGTCCATCTGAGACCCCTGGGACTCACCAGTTCCTAAATTTAGCAGCTTCCAAAGCCAGTAGCTTGGAACGGGCTGCCTGCTGCAGACTTGGACTCACTGACCTCCTTAGACACCTCCCTCTTGAGGTCTGACCTACAGACCCAGGACTTGCCAGCCTCTGAGAGCATCAGAGGGAGCTCTGGTGGCCTCGTGGTAAAACGCTGCACTGCAATCCTGAAAGCACAGGGTTTGAAACCACCAGCTGCTTGTTTTGTAGGATGAGTGTGTAATCTCTTCTCAAGAGATTAACTACCTCTGAAAACCCACCCCAGGGTCAGCTATGAGTCAGTTTTGACTCAACCATACACAGCAACAACGACAAGTATCGTGAGCACTTCCAATAAATTAATTGAGGGAGAGAGAGAGGAGAGAGTTTTGTTCGTTTTGCTCTCTTGAGAAACCATCCTAAGACACTATCGTCATCAACATCAAGTCAAGTCACCTTCTGACGTATTTCATTACATAAGCCATCATTTTCTTGGCTGCATCTGTCTGACCATGTCTCTGAGTAACCTTATTGACCACAGAATTGACCAGCCCTGCATCACCTGATTCAGCACGTCCGAGGACATCACTCTGGTTGTTGTGTCAGTCTGTCTCACAAATGCTCATTGATCTATTTCAGCAGACCTCCTCCTCTAGCCATTGGTCACCCCTGATGCAGCCAGGAATGGCACAGGTAGCCTGGGATCCATAAGGTTTTCACTGGCTAATTTTCCCAACTAGATCACCAGGCATTTCTTCCGCTTACATCTTAGCGTGGAAGCCCCACCAGGAAACCCTGCTGGTATATCTTCCAGCATCACAGTAACATACAGAATACCCCAGGATCATAGACCAAGAGACAGACACTGAGAACTACACGATACACCTGATTTTACCATGTAAGACGTCTGCCTTGGGCTGTCAACATTAATCAGCTTTAACTTTTGTTAGAACGCTTATTATACTCCATTAATTTTATGGAGCCTTGGTGGTACAGTGATTAAGTGTTGGCTTCTGAAGGTCGGCAGGGAGCTCTGGTGGCTCGTGGGAAGGAGCCGTGCTGCAGTGTCCCACTCTCACGGCCCCAAAGAAGTGAGCTGCTCCACCAGGTTTGCAAGGCTGTAAGTCTTAGAGACAGCTTGCCACATCATTGCCCTTTAAAGGTGCTGGTAGATTCGAACTGCTGTCCTTCCACTCAGCAGCTCAGTGTTTAACCACTACCCTGCGAGGGCATCCCATAAATTTCTTAGCTGGGGAAACCCCATGGACAGTTCTACTTAGTCCTATAAGGGGTCTGTGAGTTGGAATCTACTCAACACCAATGAGTTTCCCTTTTTCTTTTTTGTGTTTAGTGTCTATTCGTTTAAACCACTCAAGATCTAAAAGTGTGAAGAATTCCAATACATACAGGAACATGCTACTCCACATGCCAAAATCTAAGGTACAGGCTGTGAGTCACAAGTACTGAACTTTCCCATGAACTAACACTACGCCTACTATTAGGGCATATCTCTGTACTTAGGAAAGACTGACCTTGAGATAACTACATCCCAGTGGAGACCCCAAAGAGACCAAGTGTACAGACAGAAAGGGCTCTGTCTTTTCTGACAAGAGTATCAACTACAAAAGCAAAACAACTCAAACCTATTCCCGTTGATCCAGATCTGACTCACAATTAATACTCCAACAGGTTTTCAGATGAAGCAGCTGATAGATTCAAACTGCACACCTTTGGGTTAGCAGCACAATTCTTTGTCCATTAAGCTACAAGAGCTCAAGTGTCACAGTAATCACTCAGGAGAGGACAGTG